AAGACCAGCACTTCTAATGGTTTTCTCAGCTTTATATTTTTAAAGTTAGCATTATCTTAAAATACGAAACTTATGAAAATCTGATATAAGGAAATTTATTCAAGCTCCAAGTTTCAATAAGAAATTATTAAAATCATTATTTTAATCAACCTTCTCAGTTATACCTTCTTGCCACCCAACTTCTGCTTACTTGTAATTAAAGTATAACACTGACTTCACCATCTTATATATACACTTACCAACACAGAAAAATCTTTAAATTTTAGTTCTGGGTAACCTTTAATTTTTTCTTCTCATTTAGTAAGAATAAAAAGAGGCCATTGAAGAAAAACAGATCCTGACCATTCCAAGCAAATGGAAATAAAGAATTCTTGTGTTAGAGATTGAAAGTAATTAAAATCTCCTCTACCTAAATTTTCTCTATGCAGACATAAGTGATTCCATTTGTTTATTTGTGAATACATGTGTTAATAGACCTATGTGCCAAAGGTATGAAAGTATGAAAGAGAGGAAAGAGAACTAGGTAAGCATTAAAATATTCAATCATTTCATAATTTCACCCCTCTGAGAGGGCCAATTTCAGCAAATACATCAGAGGAAGGACATGATTCTGAATGAGGATTTGAGCTGGTCATCTTTCACAAGATTGTTATATATCTATATAGTCATAAAAGCAACACAAATGACATGGCATTTCTTAAAGAAAAAAAAAAGAATATCTTCAGCTGGAGTATTCAGAGAAAGCTTAACAGGACAGATGATATTTAACATGGACCATGGTAAGTAGAGTTTTGATAGAGACAGTGGTGGTGGGGTGTGAGATATATTGTAATTTAAGAGTAAAGTAAGGCATTAAAGTAGAGTGACTTAAGAGAACAGAGAGCAGCCAGGGTGTTTTGGAGCCTATTTCCAAAATACAGGAGAGAAATATCAAGTATAAATTTATAGGTTGATGACACAAGGTTAGTTTCTGTTATTGATAGCTATTGTGAAAAATATATTGTTTTAACTTTTAGCTCCATTTACTATAACAGAATGTGAGAATTTCATCTAGCAGTGTCTTTATGATTTTCCTGGTCTATCTTTAAAAATATATATCAGATATGACTTGAAGGCATTGGATCAGGAGTGGTATTAGCTAGGTTTTCCTGAAACTGTTTTTCTTTCTCAGAGTGAAAGTTCCTTGATCTCTTTGGCTCTGAGTCTTCTTATCTCTAAGAAAGGAGTTGGGGCTGGATTATTCCTTGAATTCCTTCTAGATATGCTTCTATGATATGGAAAACAGTGCAAAAGCACCACCCACTGAATATTTTTTTTCAATAAAACATTTCTTATCCACTGATTTTTATTAAATTGGAATGTCAGTTTCTCACTTAAAAAAAATTAAACTAGATCATGGAATCTTCACTCTGTTTCTATGCTTGATCTTTGTAAAGTCTTAGTTCTTTAAACTTTTGTGTTTTTTTTCCAAATTTAATTACAGCTTTATAAGAGAGTTATTATGCACAATCCAATAGCTTTAGTTAGTAGATGCTATGTAATGATTTAGTGATTTTGAAAATTCTGTAAAATTATAACACTTCAGAGTGGAAGTAATTTTAAGAAAACTTTATCTGATTTCTACATTTTACACACAGGGAAAGTGGGATGTAGAGAGAATCAATGACTTTCTGGAATTCACTTGCCAATTCGAATTCCACTGTACCATTGTCCCTAATCTACATGGATGAGATTGAATGGGCAAATAATATGAACATAAACATCTCTGACTTTCTAAACATTGCTAAAATGTAGTTTTTGTTTGTTGTTAATTGCAGGACTAGGTATTGAACTCAGAGCCTTTCACAGGTTAGGCAAGCACTCTACCACTGAGCTATATCCCCAATCCTTTTTATTTTAACTTAAGACAAGGTCTGGCTAAATTGCCTAGGCTAGCCTCAAACTTGCAGCTCTCCTGCCTTAGCCTTCCGAGTACCTTGGGTTACAGTCATGCACCACTACACCCAGCCTAGTTTTCCTTTTATAAGTTGTTGATCTCCAACTGTTAATCTTGGTAACATCCATGTTAAGGTAGAACACTGAAAATCTGGCGAGGGTTCCACTTGTCTGCTTCCCGGTGCTGTGCTTGCTCTGTGCCACCAAACAATGGCAATTGTTTTCATTTGCTGTGATGCTCCTCACCTGAGGGACATCTCCTCAGACTAGCTTTCCTGATGCTGCCTTTCAGGACCATGACAGTGGGCCAGGTGCCATGCTACTCAAGGGCAGGAATGGAGGCCTCTGGCCTGGAATCTTATTGAATGTAGGCAGAAGCAGTCACTGACAACTTGGCCTCAGCCCATATTGCAGTATCATAAGTCAGTGTCATAATGTAAGTGTCATGAGACTCTCCCATGTACACGTCTTTTTAAGAAGTGCCTTCAAAAAGACAAAAGGATCTATGGTATATTTGGGGGTACCACAGACTTAAGAATCTTAGAGAAATTAAATGCCCTTCCCTCCAAAAAATTATATGCATTCCAAAACTTTGCAGACAAATTTGTTATATGAAACTGAGACCACAAGGACAAAATCATAAATTTTCATAGCTCCATCTTCTCTTCTGTGACTCTACCATTGGTCAAAACAAATTTCTAACATAATCTCCTAATATACATCAATCATGGTTCTCAGTTTTCTGTCAATTAAAATATCCCAAAGGAAAAGTGAGACAACTCAGTTTTAAAATTATTAAAAAAATAATTGAACTTTCCTACAATCTAATCCAAAATAGACTAATGTAACACTCAGTTCTCTATAGTAAAGCCTTTCTTTTAAAATAAATAAACAAACAGTTGCCCTCAAGGTCATATTATTAAACTTTGAATACAAAGTGCTGAAATTCTTCTTGAACTCCTTTTAACAAGACTGAGGTAATTATAAACTGTGTCAGATGTGTCTCTTGAGAGGACTTTTGAAACATATACTTCTATGTGTGCATGTGACAATAGTATAAAATTTTTCATGAAGGTCAAGAGCTGGGATTTAAGTCCAGTACTTCCTGTGCAATGGAATCCAAGGAGTTAAAGTCTTTGAAATAATTACACTCTTGAATTTCCTACTTCTCATTAGCTTAATTTACTCATCATATATATACTTGAATCAATTTAATTTGCATACTATGTTGAAATTCTGCATAAAGAAATCAGTTTATGGAGTTGCAAATAAGCTATTATCATAGTGTCCATGTACACACACAATAAGAATTGGCTTTTAAGAAATAGGAATATAAAAGATAAACCATAGCATCCTTATCCAACTCAACTTTTGACCTGATGTCATTAAAACAAAAATTGGAAAATTCAAGGGCAGTGATGGTAAAGGAATAAAGAGAGCTTAATGATTTTACTCAGAAATAGCTAATAACTTCCAGGGTTTAGAGAACTGATTATTCTTATAAACACAATTTAATTGGTAACTAGAGTGTTTATTTTGCCTTATCACAAAGACCAGATATCATTGATTCATATAAATCACTACTTTGCAAAAAATTTTGTATATCAGATACAAAAATTCACCAGCTCAGCTTTTACTGATAAATACCCCATCTGCAAGTATAAATAATCCTGCTGCTGCTAAATATTTTGTGACTCAGAGAATTAATAGAGGCAGCTTAAGGATGCTACCAGTGGAAGACCTTACAAGGTTGGGATTGGGGCTGGGAAAAGGAATCTCATTGCTAAGACCATTAATCCTGCCAAAAGAAGAGGGTGTTTTGATTAAATAATGTGCATGTGCTCTGTTCCACAGCTTGTGTTTGCAGTAGATAGAATCATTATGATATTGGGCTCCCTAGATATTAGTACAATTACTTGACCTTGACTTTGGAAAAGTATTTTTTTTTTTGCTAACATACTTTCATAACTTGTTTCTCGTACCAAAATCAGATTTATGACCAGGATGTCTTCACCTGTTTACCTTGGTCTTCTCTTACTTCATATAATACATAGTAAAATACAGAAAGAAGGAGAAAATGTTATGAAACTAGGGGAAACTGACTTCTATTACAAGTTTTGTGTAGAATAAATTATAAGATGCCTATAATCTTGGGTGGGTGGACTAGTTAACACATTCTATCTAAATAAAGCCAGCTACACTAAGTGCTACTTTTTAAAGTGATCGTTAGTTTTAAAGGGCACCTAGAGTTAAAAGTGTAATATATCATTACATCATCTTAGGATCATGACTTAATTAAAAAATACATTTATGTACATGACTTCAGTGAAAACAACAAGGAACATTTACACATTGTAAGGCTAGGACTGTTATTAAAGTTTATTCTATTTCTTCTCTTTATAGAAGTAGTATACACTTCTTAAATTTCTCATTTTAGGAAATTCATAAAAATTTAGAAACATACAAAGAAGATAAAAAGTAATAATCCAATCACACAAAAGTTATATTTAGGAACAGTGTGATGCAAATAAATATATTATAATGTAGATTCAATGTTCGCAGTTTTAATTGTGCTTGAGTAACTCTAAGGTCTTCGACATATAATCTGTTATAATATTCATGAGGACTGAATTTTAATCGTGACTCTGATTTTGAATCCGGTTCTAAGCCCAGGTTGAAATGAGAAACTTATAGCTAATAATTACAACGGCTCAGCATCCTCACTTCATTGCGGCTCTGTGCTGTACTTGCTGTACATAAGCAATAACCAACAAATTATACTTCTCTGAATACATCAGAAATTATATGCTATGGAAATACTCCCACATTTAGAGATTCAAGCTTTGCTTTTGAATGTTAATTTCTATATTTCTTTCCCCATGTTTCTTTTCTTTCAATCTTTTAATAGCATTTTTTTTTTTTTATTCTACAGGACAGAATTGTGCTTGAGAACTATCAGCTTCTATAGATATTTCCACAATAGAAAAACCTTTTCTTCCTGTCCCCACATGGGCAGGTCGATTTTCATTGAAAATGGCTTCAAGCTGGTTCTAATATTTACTCACTTATGCAGGTGCGTGCATCAGCATGGAGTCTGTATCCCGTATCACATTCACAGTGGAAGGTGCCCAGAGTGTTAATACAGCGCTGCTGGCAGCCTCCATTCACCACCGCACATTCATCGACATCTAGAGGAGGAAGACAGATGGCCAGGATTACAATGTCATTCCAATGTCAGCTTCGGAGAAGTGGCACAATGTTTCTGTGATACACAGTATGTGTTATATTGTACAAAGGCAACATCTCTGTTGCCACAAATCTTTACCTGTTTGATCCACTTTGCTCTACTATGTAAACAAGAAAATGCAGGTAGAAACTTTATTGAGCTTTTTGAAGCCCAGAAACAATGAGCCTAGGAATTGTCTCACAGTTTTCTATTCTTCACACAGTAGATAATTAGACAGGTCCAAGATATATAGATATTTCCTTGTGGAAGAAAAACTGGAGGGAAGAATTACAATGAGCTACTCTATCTGGAGCAGCACAAACTAGTAGATAAACACCTATTATTGGTCTGACACTGTTGAATAAAACCAGTAATGGAGTTAAGACCTTGAATCTCCTTCTCATATGCTGCAGTAGACATCAGGGCAAAGACAGATAAATTCAAATAAAACCATGGTTTGGTGTCCTTAAAAACATATCAACACATTTGTTCCACTGATTCAGCTTCTTCCTTCTCATTCAAGCTGCCATTTTCTGAATCACCATGTTGATATGAAAGGTTGCTTTATTTTTAGAAAAACTGGATAGAGGTCAAGACTTATGATATTTTATGATATAATATTAATTTTTTATTAGGCAAAAATCATTTCATCTCTGTAAACCTATAGTTCCTTGTGCACTATGTAATCAGTATATATATATTTTATGATTATATATATATATAATCATAAAAAGAAAATATCCATAAAGCATAAGGCTATGGAGGGATTTTTCAGGTAATCAGAGGATGAAGAACTTCTAAATGTTCTTGTTTCAGAATTTAAAAAATAAAAATCTATATCTTTGGCAAGTTCCAAAGGAAAAAAATCCTCTTCCAATACAGGAAGTACAAGTCTCATGCAGAGAATGTCCTCATTTTTCCTGCTCTTCATCCCAGACTTTGCAGCAAAGAATGTTGGGTGTGAATATTCTTCACCAAAATATAAATCATCCTACAAGACAATTATCAGCATAAAATACATTGAGTGACATTCATTCCACAAGGCAAGTTCTTTATTCAAGAAGACATCAACATGGAGGATGAATACTATTGCAATGACTCACAATAACTGTCATGCAAAGATCTCATGATATATAATGAATGTTTTATATTAAAATAAAGATGCAAGGATATGAGTGAAGGGAAACAAAAGAGCTTTCTTTTACATGGCATTGCTTTTTGTTGTTTTGT